CCCCTCCCCCTTCAAGCCTAGTTTAAAGCTCCATCAATGAGCCCCGCTAGTTCCTGGACAAAGATCCTCTTCCCCCTTTGAGAGAGATGAATCCCATCAGCGCTCATCAGGCCCGGTGCCATGTAGGCCGCTCCATTGTCAAAGAACCCAAAGTTGTGGCATCGACACCAGCCATGGAGCCATGCATTTATGGACTGCGGCTGTCTGTTCCACCCACCATTGCTGCCCTTAACTGGAAGGAGGGAGGCGAATATTACCTGCGCCCCCAAATCCTTCAGTGACTGTCCCAAGACCCTGAAGTCCCTTTTGATCGCTTTCGTGGTACGTGTCTCTGCTTCATCCCCACCCACATGGAGGAGCAGCAGTGGGTAATAGTCAGAGGGGTGTACCAGGCTGGGGAGTTTCCTAGCGATGTCCTTGACACGGGCCCCGGGGAGGCAGCAGACTTCTCTGAGAGGAGGGTCTGCCCTGCATATCGGGCCCTCTGTACCCTTCAGAAGGGAGTCCCCTACGACTGTAACTCTCCTTTTTTTCTTTGTTGGGGTGGTCACGACCCGAGGCATGGGCTTTTTGGGCCTAGGTGCTACCTCTGGAGTAACTTGACTGTCATCCATATCCTCGCTTGAGTGGCCTTCCACAGCCAGAGCCTCGTACCTGTTGCACAGGGGTACGTGGGATGGCAAGGTGGGTGAGGAAGAGAAGGTTCACCTGCCGCACTGCGCGTGGACTTGTTTCCATTCACTCCTCTCTTTGAGGCTGCTGCCTTCTGCCTGGTGAGGGGAGGATACAGGGTCCCCTTCACTTTGGCTTTGATCTGTTAGCTGTCCCTGTTTCTGCCTCAGGGAGGGCAGAGTTTGGCTCCATAAGTCTATCTCTCTCATAGTAGCCTTTCAATACTTAAACAGGGCTTATGAGAAAGACAGGGACAGATTTTTTAGTAGGGCCTGTAGCAATAGGACAAACCATTCTATGAATCTCTCCCTTCTGCCTATTCTACTACTTGTACACCTTCAGATCAACAAGTTCTGATGCATCAATGCAGGAGGGAAAAAAGACACATTTTTTGATGTTCCTTTTGAATGAAAATGTAAGCCAGGCTCTGCCTTCCCTTGCCCTTCTGTAGTCATTCACCTTCAAGGGAAGAAAGCTAAGGCTCCTCTGCTGGCATAGAGCTCAGGTCCAAACAAGTTCTCAGAACAGCATTGCTTTGAGCCAAACGAAGACATGTCCTGCAACATCAGACAAGCATTCTGGGGTAAATGACTAGGACAGGTGGTGGGCAGGGCCTTGTCCTTTTTAAGATTTATTTTAAACACTTCCATTTAGGCTTTTGGGTGTAGCACCAAGAGGAACCTTCAAACCTCTTCCCTGCAGCTACACAGGCCTGTGAGGCAGGCAGACTAGGGAGGAAAAATAATAGAGAACTTTTAAAAAAAATTAAATACAGCTGCTTGAGCCTGAAGTGGCCAAGACTCAAACTGCTACTTCCTTAATTGGGCATCAGCAAGCCTGTGGCTGCTCCAGATGCACTCCATCAGCACTGCACAGCAGAGGAGCGACAGAGGGTTTACCTGTTGTATTCGGAGACAGGGAGCCAGTCCTTGGCATCAGGAAAGCAGAACTGAGGGATAGCCTTGAGACGCTCCTCTGCTTCACGCATTTGCTTGGTTGGTCTTTCTAGCTGCGGGGGAGGAAATTGAGGTTCAGTCAGTTACTGTTAGTGCCAGCTTCACAGCACCTCTCAGGAGCGGGGGTTACTAATGAGCTCTGAAGAGCAAGGGCCCATCGGCTTGTTCTTTATTTGTGCTTGGTAGTGAGGCATGACCCCAGGACAGGCTTATAGATGCTGGTACAATAGAAATAATCACTGCTGATTTTTTTTATTATTATTTTTTAAATTGCCCGAAACTTCCTTGTTGCACAATGACCACTTAAAACACAGTCCTCACTCAAATTCCTTCTGCTGCAAGAGCACAAAAGAAATGCCATAGATCAGCAAAAGTCTTTCCATTGACTTCAGTGAGTTTTGGAACAAATCCTAATATAGCCAAAATGAGTTAGAAGTGAAATATTTAGAAACTGAATTTAAACACAGTCTTTAAAGCACCTACCATCAGGCCAAACTCTCCAGCACTGGAAAAGATAAATTTGTAAACAGGGAAAGCTTTCAGTCACCTCCTTTATGCCCTTTGCTTTGTAACTGATCGCTTTGGAAAAATTATGAAAGCTGAATGAATAACTCCACTTAAAAAACAGATTTCTATTCATTTTCCCACTTAGTCACTTTATTGATCTTAGAATGTACTGTACGTAAGAACTTTGCTTTTACCTTGGGAAACTGATATGTCACTTCTGGGAGGTAAGTGTTTTTAGAGGGCTTCTTTTTCAGCGACACTACCACAAAATACTCAAATAACTCCCGTTCCTGCCATTCGATCAGCTCCAGTTCCAGGGTTCGGTAACTTGGAGCCCTCTTCAGCATTGACTGGATGTGTACTAGACGCTGAGTATGAGCTAGCATTTAAAAACAACAAAAAAGAGACAGATGGTTACCTGGGACTGTAACGTGTACGTGTAAGCCACAGCCATTCACAAAGGACTTTCAAATTGCCAGCGTATTATTCCAAGCATGTTCTCCTTTCAAAAGCAAACCTTCATACTGTAGTCTCCTCTACTAATTGCGCCCATAAATCAAAACTCTTTCCAAGTACTGAAGTGATGCAACACTAAGTCACTGAAATAATGTGCAGTTCATAACTGTTACCCTGCCAAAGGTCTGCTTTTTCTTCCCACTTAAGACTAGATTATAAGCCTTGATGTGGGTGTGCAAATGCACTAGGGCCTCCAGGGTGACACATCCCAGGCCTGACTTGGACCTGGTTTACTTTGGTGAAAAACAGTTCTGTGACCTGTTCTTACATAGCACAGCTTTATGCTAAGAACCACTGAAGGTGTATTTTCTCCTCGACAGCACAGGCGTGGTCCATACAAGCCATGGAATGATCTCCAGGGAAGGGGAAAGGAAAGAGGTGTGAAATGCCTCCCCTGTAGGATTGCTTTGCTTGTGCCAAGTCGATTGAGGGGCAATCTTAGATTCATGGTCACATCCAGTCCTGATTCAAAGATATGCCTTGATCCAGTGACTTGTCGCTAGACGTCTATGGTGGACTAGTCAGTAACATCATTCGCAGTTCTGGTAGACCAATAAGTGAAAACATCTAAGTAAAACCAGCTTCCCACATGCTCTTCCCCACCTCTTCACACCAGGCAAATGAATTACTAGCAGCACACATCAATCCCTTAAGGCTATAATCACTTACACTGCCCACAGTTTGCAAAAGGCAGACTGTCCCTTGTGGTGGGGAAATAAGATGTCACAAGCTCTTGATCATAGCAGTAATTAATTGACAGAAAGAAAGGGAAACCCCTTGATGATCAGCTGTCACACAACTGGATCAACAACACAAAAAATAAAAATTATTTTGATAAAGCTCTTGGGTCTTGATGTGACTGCACAACCAGAGAAGCCAAATCCCAAGAAACAACCTGCCTTGTCCTGCCTTGAGACAGTGTCCTGCTGGCCAGTGCTTCCTATTTGCAAGAGGTGAAACCAAAAAGCCCACTCCAACAGACTTGACCCAGTGAATCCTGTTATGCTACACATGACAAAAAGATCTGTGGTTCAGGATGCCCTGAGAGCATCAATGTAAATATCAGGTCACGCAGGAGCAGCTGGTTAGGGAGCCATCAGAATGAAGATCCTCTGTTCCACAACAATGGGAGAAAAAGCTTCACAGTTTCCAGTGAAATCAGAATATCCTCCCAATATCAAGAGAGAGGCAGGGCCCTGTCTGTCTTCTTTCATGGGCTATGAGCAAAAGCAAGCCCTATAATTTCTGACACAAAGAGAAACAGAATTGAAATTGTTCTTGGGCTGGTACTTGTCTAAAAAGGAGCAATGAGTCTTTTTCCACACATCACTGTACAATGCTGCATACAGCCTGTTTTGAGCAGTCCTACCACCACCTATCTGGAACAAATCTCCTTCCCTAAGACAACTTTTTCCAGCAAGTTTTCCTGTATGAACAGTAAGCAGGTGACATCTGCAGTAGATAGACATGAATGCTTGCCCCTTATAACCACAGCTCCACACTCTTGGGTTTTTTCCCTTCACTTACTAACAACATGATAGATTTTTTAGTAATAAAATCTGTTGTTGCTGCCTTAAACTTTTTTATAGTTCTCTCTATGTATCAGGACTCTTGAAAATGAGGGACTAATTTACTGGTCTGGCTGAAGCAGAGTTTGTGCAGGTGCTGTGCACTGATAAAGGAATTTCTACAATTTGGAGACTGCAGACCTATAAAAAAGTGTAAGAACCGCTATGCTGGATCAGACTCAGAATCTTGCCTCCAACAGCAGCTAGCTGTAAACACTTAAAGCAGTGCATGAGTAAGAAGAGAGCATATTTATCCAATCTCATCCCTCTAAGTTTGCACCCAGTAGTCAGTCTGGAAAACATCAGCATCTGTGAAGCGGCTGACAAAGCAAATCTATCAAAGGTCCTGTTCTTCATTATATGACACAGTTGCCAAATCCTTGTTAGATCCTCACAGCTCATTTTGTCCTTGCTTTCCACATTCATGCTCCTGTGTTGGAAACTTTGTGAGCTCTGCAATAATGGAGTTAGCATAGTTTGGGAAGAAAAATATAGGCCACGGACAGGAACAAAGTGCAGCAGCAGGAGAATGTGCGTTGATAAGGTCTGTGACAGTGGCTGACTAGAAGGTATTGAAGGCCAGTCCCTTACCTTTAAACCTGTCATCTGAGTCACTCTCACTCTCGCTGTTCTCATCTGCAGAGGAGATAGAGGGATCAGTTAATGCAAAACCAAAGCAAACATAAACTTAGTTTACTATGGTGAAACTGGGAAAAATCACATCTCACACTGAACTTTGTGATCCACGCATGCTCTCTCCTCAGTTTTAAAACATCTTGAAATACACAGTTTGAATGACTCCTTAGATTGTTTTCCTTGGATTAAGTTTCAATTTTCCTTGAAAATTAGAGCTTCATTTTGATGCAAGTGCAAAACTCATTCTCTATTATGGCAACTGGTTGCAGTGAGCCCCCATCTGTGCTAAGCTACAGAGGTGAACATGCCATTTGGAAAATGGATTTTAATCCTTCCACTTCTTTTTCAGACTTTAAATTTTTTGGAAAAAAAAAAGTTATGCAGCATTTGAGAAGTCAAAATAAGCCTTAAGAGCTTTGTCTGTCTGGGCAACATTTTCAATCACCAGAACTCACCAAACTGAGTGAGAGTAACATGCAAAAGTAACCTTATGACAAGATGTATTTCTGAGATGTACTCATATTAAAGCTCTATTGTACTCCTATTCCAACCATGGCCTGAATTTCTTTTTGGTCCTTGCTTTTCCAGAAGCAGTCTGAAACGCAGTGTGAGTTATATTCACATGCCAGGAAAAAGCATGAATAAATTACAAGGTCAAAACTGTGAATTTTAGACAAAACTTACAGATGTAAATTACTCAAAAAGTGAACTAAAGAAGCTGGGTAAGTCTAGCTGATCATGGGATTAATAGGATAGACAATGCTGAGAATCTCATCCCTATTTTCTCCTCTTGCAGACACAAAGTTATCATTGTTCATAGAAGAAAGCTCCAAACAAAGTAGAGCCTGGGGTAGATGCGGAGGAAAGAAGGGAATCTGTTAATCCTGTAACACTCAAATGGCTTCACTGAACTGTGATGCTTGTGTCATACCTCGTAGGGACGCTGTCTCAATATTGGACATAGAAAGTTTCTTCAATCGTTTCTTTCCTCTTTTTGCACTGTAGATGGAATTGATTCTTTGGACAAGCTGCAAAATAAGAAAATGAGGAATCAGTAAGACCAAACACTTTTCTGCCAGGAGGCTTTTAATTAATCTATCCAAACAAAGAATTTGACCATGGATGATAGGCCAGCTGAACCCCCCAAAGCACATTTCTTATCTCTCTCATTTTTTTGAATCACATATTTTTAATCTCACTCCTTTACTTATGGATATATTTTAAAAAACAATTAAATAACTCAGAAACCTAATTCCCATTTTCAAAAATCATGTAGACATTTGTAACAAAAGCACAATGAGCCTGAGGATTCAAAGGTAGCTGTTATCCTCTACCACCTTGTTCCTCTCTCTCTATGCTATTGATTCTCTCTTCACTTGCATTGTCTAAGTAACAGTGATCCATTAGCCATATCCAACTTTGCCAAATTCTCATGGAGCTTAAGATCATATTCTTATTCTGAATATGAGTAATGTGTGTTATCACCTCTCTGAACTGAGATTTTAGTGTGTTCAGATAAGCACAAAAGGAGATGGCCCTAACTTTTTAAAGCCTTTTCAGGTACAGAGTGAACCAGCTGCTTTGAAGCTATATCATATCAGCTGAGGATCTGGCCCATACGCACTTCCCATCCCTCCCCCTTCCAACTCGTGCTGTACTTAACTTACTTCAGACGTGCTGTATCTACTGTCTCCAATCTTATCCTTATCTACAAAAGTATTTTGAAGTTAGCTACTTTAACCAGCACTGGCCAGAATTTTAACTCCTGGTAATCATCTTTATGACTTCCCTCAGGAGGGCTAATGCAGACAATAACTGTCTATCCAAAAAAATCTGAGATGATGGAAAATTTTAATGAGATAACTCATTAGAGTTTAGAGCCTTCACCAAGAGGTTGAGATTACGAATTTGTAATTAAATAGAATATAACAACTTCTGGAGAGCCAGAAACATGTAGCAATTTAACTTCATAATGTTTTTATGAGTCAGGAATAGTATATTTCATTCCATAGCACTTTACTCATAGAACTATAATACATTTTGCAAAAGCTGTTTTACTTCAGCTTGCAGAGAGAAACAAACTCAGTGAGAGAAACTAATTCACCGTAGACACTGTAGAAAGTCAGTAACAGAGCACAGACTGGAACAAAAACTCAGGTAACTCCTCCAAAGAGGAACAGCGTCTGGCCCAGAACGGACAGTCTAAAGTGTTAAAAACCTCAATGGTTCTCCCGCTTGAAGCGTGTGCCAGCCCAGAAACTCCTGCATGTAGGCACTAAACAAGGCATCAGGAACCAGGAGCGAGGGGCTTTGCTGGCATTTTTCACTCCCCTCACTGTGCTGCTCGGCGCTTTGTCTGCTTGAGCTACTTCACCAGCAGTAAAATACCTGCACTGCGGTAAGGAAAGCCCAGATGTTTAAAGCATTTGGATATTGTTTTGCAAAGCATCACTGGGGGTGGTAAAGAACAGGAGTTTCTCAGGTTTGAGTTTTTGCCTCTAATAATATTTTCTCAATAAAAAACTGAGATTCTCCAGTAATATGTGATTCTAGGAGCTAGACTGGTCAAAAATAAAAATCATCACAAGATTTATGTTAAACCTATGAACATTCATATGCTGAAAACATAATTTCACATAAGGAGAATGTCGGTCCTTAAATCTAAATTTTTTTAAAAAAAAAAGGTACAAAACTAACAGCCAAACTTTTCAAGTTTTATTCAAAACCAAGTAGTAAGCTACTCTGTAAGTTACTCTCTAACTTCCTTCACAGATGTATGCTCATTTGTGCCGTAAAATAGTATATTCCAAGAAAGTATAAATATAGTAAATATTAAAGATGTAGGATTAATTTCCTCTTGTTTGTTTCCTGCTTAGACTGAATTTCAGACTAATTGACAGGAACATAAAAATCTCCCTTTACTCACAGTATTTACAGCCATGCACTTTAAAATATGCTCTCTAATAAGAACAGGAAAGAGCTGAATATACAGTAAAAATCAACTTTGTTCACAAGCCAAAAATAAATATATTGGCAGTTCTCCCCCTCCACCTCTGTTGCCACTGTACTAGAAAAAGTTTGTTGGGATTTTTTTGTTGTTGTTGTTGCTTGGTGGCTTGGGTTATTTTCACATCCCATTTTGAATTGGAAAACTCCGTGGAAAATGGAAAATTAATTTTTACCTCAAATCCATCAAGACAAAAGTGTTATCAGGATGGGGTAAGTTGTGAGTAAATGAAGGGAAACATATTAGGCCAATAATAGTTATATTCCTGAGACCAGTAAACAAATGATGGGGAAAAAACCCACTTCAGATGCTGCTGCATGTTTTAAATAAAAATTGCTTGGCCATCACCCATTCAAAATCATAAAGTTAGGTACACAACAATGCTCTGGCCCACAGATCTTAAGGAAAAGTGTGGAAAACAAAATTGGTTTAAAATCCAGTCTGTGCAAAGATGGCAATCAGATGTTTGCTACTGTTGGATCAGGGCTGAGTTATCCACTTTTAGGGAAGGGATTTTTCACAGTACAGCTGTATGTAAAAAAGGACTATGTATTGGTTCCTGCGAGTTACTGTTTCTGGTGTGATCTCAATTTTACTTTAGGATACAAAAGGAGCTTTCAGTGATGACTAAATGCTGGATAAAAATTTGCAAGCTCTTGCAGATGGGCATAAGTCTGATCACCCTGCCAGTACCTTTGGGATCCTCCTGGCCCGCCGTGTAGACAGCAGCTCACTTGTGGTACTCAGGCTGTCCTCATTGAGGCTGGAAGGGGAGGAGGGAATGCCAAGTTGAGCTAGCAGCAGCATGTCATCATGGCTATGCCGCTTGGGCAGCCGTGGCAAGCGGTGGCTCTTCCTTTCTGACCAGTTCCCGATGCGCAGAGACTGGCTGCTGGGCTTCGAAGGTAGCTGCAGGAACAAGAACAGCTTGAGCTCTTCCCCTCCTCAGCAACACTTAGTGCAGAAACAGCTCTTTGTGAGTGAGTGGTGGCTACACAAGGACATCACGTCAGGTGAGCCACCGCTCTGCAGGATATGTGCAAAGAGAGGGTTTAAGGTCAAAATGAAGAGACAGGGGTCAATATCTAAGACTTTGAAGTTCAAAAAGAAAAAAACAATAGTACTTTGGCTTTGGTGCATTTCCATGCACCCACACCACATCAACTCTATGAGCCTTCAAACCTAACTTAAAGGCTTGGCTGATATCACAACACTGACTCGATGTGCCTGATTCATCTCTTTCACTTGCAGTAGTGAAAATCAAGAGCAATTACATTGAAGTTGCTATTTTATCCTAGAGAAAGTAAGTAGAAATCAAGCTTGCTGTATTTCCATGGTGTTAAGATGTTTTAAGATCTGTCAATGTGCAGAGGTGCAGTTATAGCTTTGTCCTGCATTCTCAAATAACTCCCTTTAAAACACAGAACTGTTGTCATTGCAGGGGGAAGGGAAAATCTCCGAGACGATTAAGCACTAAGTAACAGCTATTTTTGAAAAACTAGGGCTCTTATGGAGCAGTCCTTCAAGCAGCTCTGCCCAGCTCTGGTCCTTGCCTTCTCCTCCCAAACACAAACACTGTAAGGAGCTTAACCAGCATGTCTAGAAAAAGTAGAATTATGTCAAATAGTTGTCAATTGGCATTTGCTAATATTCTATTAGCAGTATTACGAGCTATAAACCTGCAGCCATAAATGTCTCATTTGTTCTACTTGGAGGGCTTACCTATTACAACGCCACACTATCTGGGATTAAGCAAAGGTGTTTCTAGATGGGTGCGTTTTGCATCACAAATACAACGTCATCAATAAAACATTCTTTTTATATCTGATGACTTCAAAAATTGAAAATAATGAATGGGAAAAGAGAAGACAGCGGGATTCAAAATGACCACAAGGCAGTGTTTCTGAGGTCTTTGCTTCCCACAGGTTAGCATGCCAGGAAAATCTGCCATCCTCTATACATTAATGAAAGCAATTATTTTTGGAGATGATCGTTGAAAGCCTGCTGACCTTCTGATCTCTTCCATCTTGTTTATCATCATCCATGACTTAAAAGTCATGTTGCTAATCCAGCTATGTTGCTAGGCTGGAAAAACTAGGCGATAAATTGTTGCCAGATTCCTCAGGAAATTGAGACTTTTCTATTTCTGGACATTGGAGAATTACCCAGGCCCATAGCTGACCTGCTCTTAGTGTCTCTTCGCTTTATATATCAGTGCAATGACAGCGCAATTATTGCAGGACTGACTCCTGGCAGGAAACTCCTGGCAGCATTTCAAAAAGAAGCTACCAGAATAAAGATAGCCCTGTTGCAAAGATACCAGAGAGTGCTTATTTACTGAGCAACATTACAGAAGTCATTTTAATCCATATATTCTTTGGTCACCCTGTGCAAAACAGACAACAGTGGACAATACCTTACTATGGACCTATATGGTTCCCACCTTAATGGTACACACTGTTGGATCCTGTAGAGGCTACACAATTCCTGTTCACACACACACAGCCAAGAAGAATTGTTATGCATAGTATGTCTCTCACTAGGAGGTTATCTTCATGGCTGCAGTTTCTGTTTCTCCTTACTCTACCTGATTACTACTTTCCACTTGTTCCCTTTTCAGCAGCTTTGCTGAAAACACTCCAGTTTTACAAATGATGTGCTAGATGCATACTAAGAATCCTGGTGATACTTCTTTTGCCTCTTGGACTGTGATGCTCACATGCATGCAAAATAAGTGAAAGAAAACATATTCAGTTTTGTTCTAGGTCTCTTTACAAGACAAAAATGTAAGTCGTCGTGACCTTTTGTTCAGCTGCAATTTTTCTGTTGATTCAGTGCAAAACAAAGTTCCTTTAAAAGGTGTTTTGAATCTCAAAATTAAGTATGTGATGAAATTTGTATTTTTCCTTATGAACACAATGATCCCATAAACAACAAAGCAACCTGGCATTTCATAGTGTTCACAAAAAACAGACAGCTTTGGAAAATTCACAAGATGGAAATCTGCAGAGTTCCTGGTCTTTTACTTTATGCTGTAAACACAACTTATATAGCCTTGTTAAATGCAGACAGTCAGGTTTTTCTGATTATTTTATTATTCATTTATTTATTGGGGGACATACTTGGCCTTCTCCATTTTACAATAAAACACGCCACGCTACATACTTCACAACAGCAAACTCACAATAGGCCTCACGTAACAATATATGGGCAAGATTAAGCAGCTGACTTAATCCGTAAACACGGAGGCAATTCACAAAGAGGTGCAGCCATACAAATAATTTAGGGCCAGAGTCAGCTCACAGACAACCGGTGGAAGGATCCTGCTTAAGCTCATCAGGCCGCAGCCAGCACAAAGAGCCATCAGCTTCTGCAATGCAGTGCTGAGAAGCCGAGCAACAGCTGCCAAGAGCATTCCCAGCAACGATTTATGCATTCGATTGCACTCTTTTTCCAGATACCCTCTATCATTCAGTACGGCTGCTCTTCCTCCTATGCCATGATTGATTTTCTTGCAAAAATTTTAAATAAGCTTCAAGCACAGAAAGACCGGTGCCGTCACGCTGTTACCTGGGGAGGTGATGTGTATTTCCTGTCCTGCGGCGTCCACATCCTGTGCAAAGAATCTAGGGAATTCTCCGAGAGCTGATGGGATTTTCGGCCCGCATGACGGGCTTTCAGCTCCACATCCTCATACGGGTTTTCCTTGGGTGACTCGCCTTCACGTTTTTGGGGTTTTTTTTTAAGAAAAGAAAAACAGACAGGAATGTAAAGTTTTAAAAAAAAATAAAAATCATGTGAACCAAGTGAAAAGCTTTTAGAAAAGCTCCTCGGCTTTCAGCATGACTCATCCCTCTAGCTGCAGCTGGAAGTATTTGGAGGAGAACTTGGCTATGAGGTCAACAAGTTTCTTTGTGGGTTTGTTTCTCTTTTTACTTTTTTTTTTTAAATAAAATGCAAAGGTTTCACAAGACGTGCTTCTGAGCATCCGCAGCTGTGGAAAATTTATTGATATATAAAAGCTAAGGCACATAACTACTTTAAAGTGTATCAGTAGATTTTATAAATCTATAGCAGCCACTCACAGGGTGAAATGAACAGCAATAAATAACTGTTCTCAACATACCACCCTTACACACAATAAGACAACTTTTATTTGAAGCTACCTTCATTTTTCTCTTCCTCTGAGAGAAGGCAAAGAAAGAATAAACACTTCAGCTCAGCAGTGCCAAGAGAGAAGATTGGAAAATATAAAAGAGGAGGGAAGAATTTCTGCCCCGATCATACTGCTTCCTCAAAGTGTTCTTTAAAACATATCATGGCTTCTAATTAAGCAGCTATTCATTTCAATTTATGTAAAATTAATATCTCCTAAAAGGAAACTCAACCTGCCAGTAATATATAGAGGTTTGAACAGTTAATCAGTAAATATGATATAAATGAAAAAGACATGAAAAAGCAGACTACAATCTCTAGATTTTTAGCATTTGAAAAGCAGAACCAAGATTTATAGTCCAGATTTAAGCGAGATTCAATACCCTTTGGCAGCCTAAGGACCAGTGGAATAACTCACCATCTTCTCTCACTGAACTAAGCAGCATGAAGATGAATAAGTGCCATCAGTAAAATGAACATTTTGTACCCATTTCTTCAGGCAGTTCATAATCAGCAACCTGCTTAGAACTTCAGCTTTTTTGAATACAGGGTCCTTCCAATTTTCCAACTGTCTTACACAGAAAATCTTCCCCAAAAAAGTGATCTACTCAAATTCAAAACTTGAATTTGCAAAAATTTGAAACATGCAGGAAGTTCAAAGCTTTTGAGCCAACCTGCTTTTTTTGTTCTAGATGGAATATTACATTTCCTCGTTGTAGAAAAGAAAATAAAAGTAGTTTATGCTTTCTACTTTATTGTTAAGCCTGGAAGCGTGAGACTGATTCATCAATTATAGCGATAAAAGCTTTTGCTTAGCAAGTTCACTTATTCACAATACAAGTAAAAATAAGTTTTGCTTCAGTAGCACATCATACTAAGATTTCTAGTTAAATATAAGCACAAGAGTGAATGTTTTAGCTTTGTTTTAATTAGAAGCCTGAATAACTGCTGCTCTTGAAGAATGTTTGAATTGGCAATCACAGCTTATTATTTCATCCAGAGGCAATCTGATTCTAGAGGCTGCACTATCATCATAGTCAATTCGCATGCTGCCTGGAAAGAACACCTTCAGGTGTGGGGGGTACTTAGAAGAAAGACCTTTTGATTAATGCCATGAACAGGATAAATCTTAAGCAACAAATATTCCTACAAAAATTTAAAGGTACAAATGTTCTGGGAGGTCTATGGGATTGATTGATTCCTTCTGCAGGAAGAAAAATAAATAGATATTGCATACTAATTCTGTTACTTGTAAATTCTAGAGCTCTAGATATGATAATCATAACAACAATAAATAGCCAACTTTACAAAATGTTGTTAGTTACTCACAGATAATTGGACTGTACTAGCATAATAAAATTTATTGTAAGCCCAAATCAAGTACAGGTCAAGCAAGCATTTTAGAATGGATTAACAGATTTCAAAATACCCGGCTACATGAGACAGTAAGTCTCAGGCTTAAACATGCACTTCCTTGTGAAAATAAATGTTATTACATTAGTCTGCATAGTATCCAAACTCCTGAGAAGAAATAAGCCCATCAGCTGAAAAGAAACCTTTTTTAAAATGTAAAGCTTTTAAAAGTTTTAGGGTGATTCTCTTTCCAAGACACAATGTAAAACAGAATTGCTTGAACCCAGTTAAAACTCAACATTACTAATGTTGACTTAAAATACTAAGTATAGAAACAGGCCCAGAGAAATCTTGGATGAGAGAAGAGGGAGGAGCAAGGAACTATGAGAAGAGGCTGCTTTTCTGACTCAGATTCTCTACCAAAAGAAAGCTTGGGCCAAATTCCTCTTCAGTGTAATGTGGAGGTCACTGGAGACACCACAGGGATTTTAACCCTTTCCCTAGAGCTGTAGGAGTTTCTTCAGATGATGGGTTTGCTGTTCAAGAACACTTGGTTTCTTTTATTTTTCTCATTTGCTTAAAAATCAAATTATTTCAGGGTGGGTTTTTGTTTTGTTTTTCATTTTGAAAAGATGCCTTGAGACCAAATATGCCTCACCTATTTATTTTTTTTCCTTAAAGAAGAATAACCCCCTTCCACACCAAATCTCTGATAATGAAATAGTCTGATGAATCCGAAACAACTTGGTTTTGCTGATTTGGCATTTGAACCAAGTATTTGGTTCAGCCAGTGAACTAGAAGAGATAACTTATTTGTCTAGGTCTTCAGCAATTTTCAAACCTTAGACAACCACCATTTTTCAGTATACATGCTCTCCCGGGTAGATGAGACACAAAAGACCAGATATGCAAAAATATCATCAGGCAGCCCAGACAGACTGGTTTCTGTACAGGTGACAAGAAACCCAAGATGTCAAGCAAGCTGAAAAGATGTGTGAGGATACCCTGAACTGCCCTAGAGCAGCATTTAACCCCATCTGACTGCACAGTGACTCTCTTCTGTGGAAGAAAGGCTTCGGAACTGGTGGCCACAGCAGATGTGGGTCCCACAGCCGAGGGAGGCTCTGAGGAAGACCTGCGATGGTGGGTGCTACTGCTGCTGCAGTAGCACAAAAATGAGGGAAGTTTCCATATAGCTGGGCTGGCTCAGAGGTTTGCAGCTTTGATCTCTCCATTTCACCTCAATACCATCACTTCTCTAGTCCCAAGACCCAGGCAAGGAATGTTCACAAGCTGCAAGCTGCAGTACTTTTGCATTCATTTGGATTTGCTGCAAAAGGAAAACACATTTACAATGAAAGAGCAAGGAAGCATCCTTGTTCCTTCCATATGGATGTCTCTATTGGAAGCCAAAAGGAGAAACGTTATACAGTATAGAGGCCAGGCCCATCTTAATGAGGCTAATCCAACTGCCACACAAGACAACAGCAGACTATCACTGACTTCAAAGGAAGCTGAATCAGACCCCCAGAATGCATATGGTCACATGAAATAGCACGTCTTTGGCAAATACTGTCTCTAATCACTATCCCTGCTTCCAGATCATTTCCCTTTATAAGCATTTTTTTTCCAAGTTTCCCATTCTCTTGAATTCTACGTACCAAACTGCTGAGTTAGGACATTTATCTACATGACATTTATCTTCAGAAGATCTCACAAGCAATTTAATGATTGGTCCATAGAGGAAAGAAAGAAAAAAGAAAAAGGATAAAATAACCAGGGATCTTTAGAAAAGTCCTAAGGAATACAGTGCCTTGAGCTTAAGCACCAATCAGTTTCCTCCAGCGGTTGCAATTCCTCACTCTGTGATGCCCTGCAAGTCAGCCCCACCAAGTCCTGAGGCAGCACACAATGTTCCTCTGCTCAGCCTCTCACACGTGGCAAATGGGAAGCAGAGGCAGACTCAGCAAGCTGGTCTCACACTGAGAAAGGAGTGAAAAGTAAGGCTGAGGGAAAAAAAAATGCAGGCAGACACTTCTCTATAAATGGCAGAAAGCAGGGAAATGAATAATTTCTTTCTAGATGGGAGAAATAATTATCAAAGGAATGAAGTGATTCACCAAGTGCTGATTATAACTTTTGCACTGCCAGGAAGGGAGGTATACAGTAGGGGAAACAGCAGGTATACACTAAGGGAAAAGGCTCATGAACTTGTGTTAACTTGGGTGCCTAAATTAGGAGCCAACGTTTGCAGAGGAGATACTGTCTCCAGAGGGTGATGCTGCATGCCCAAGCTAAGAGCCTTCCCTGGTGGCTACATTGAAAGCACAGGCCCCAGCTGAACCTCTGATGCTTGTGGCACCTATCCCCTCAACCTTTTGCAGTGTTTCTGTAACAACAGACAAAAGGCGTAACATCAACTCCTTTCCACACATAATCCCTCTGATGGCACCTACAAACTCCTGAACTACCTTTTTCGCCCTCTGCCCATGACCTCTGTTCAGTTGTAGCTACGGCCCAATTCATCCAGCTCACACACATTTGGTGCACACAAGCCCTTGCAGAAGATTAAAATAAAATACAACAGGACAAGAAAGAAGCAAGCTGGGAAGGGTGGTTGGGGAATTCTGCTTTTGCTGCCGTTGAAGGGAAAGCAGTGGGAATGGAAATGAACCTCTGAGTGCAAGAACTGCATGAAGGAAGAGCAGAGGATTCATGGGCAGTGCAGACTTACAGCTCCCCAGCATCTCTGAGCACTTAAGTCCAAAGAACTGCTCAATGGTGAGAATCCAGGTGCGTTCATTGCAATGCGTATGCATTATTCATTCATTTTATTCGTAAAATTACACAAATGCAGATTCACACCGCCAGCGCTGGAGGAAAACTCAGCCACTGGGACGTTTACGAGCATGTTCAGATCAAATGGATGAAAACCGCAAAATCTCTACACTCTCATAAAGTATCTGAGCTTAGATGTTTAGTACATAGATGAGGTCTTTCAATGTCAGAGAAGCTGACACTGTGCATCTCAGCTGAGGAATTTACCCCAGGAATCTGTAGAAAGAGGAACTATTTCAATATCAAATTACAGCTAAGGCACATTATAGCTGCTTTGAAAAACTATTGCTGAACAGTACTAAGTTACAGACCATTACTTGCTTATAACCTTACCACCCAGTGTATCAGCTCAGTACCACCTTCTCAGAAAAGC